AGGCGAGGTAGAGTCGTCATTGGGATTCGGTGATAGCAAGGACGCGAGATCTTAGACTTTCCACGAGGTGAGTTTTCTCACTATACTGTACTCGGAAGGGTTTGACTGTGTGACCGGAAGGTCGGATATGTTATGATATGTATGTATTATGTGTGATAAGTTATTCGTTATATGTGCCATGTATGATATGGGCCGGAAGGCATTATGTTATGGGCCAGAAGGCGAATATGTTATGGGCCGGAAGGCGTTGTGATGTGGACCGTAAGGTTGACGTGGGTAGGACCGGAAGGTTTACCTAGTTGGGACGGAAGTCCCCTGAGACACATGGATCGGAAGGTCTGGGCCTGGAAAGGCGTATGTGCATAAGTTGTATTTTGGGGAACCCACTAAGCATTTATGCTTACAGTTGTTGTGTTATGTGTTTCAGGTACTAGCGAGGAACGTGGGAAGGCGCCGGCGTGATCGTACACATTGTCGGGGAAAAACTATTTTATGATCAGTGGGATGTATTTTGTTGTGACAATATTGTTCACGTTTGAATTTGAAATATTAATCGATGTTTTTGATGTTTACAAAAATTTAAAAATTGGTTTTAAAATTTACGTCGTGACACTATTTCTGCACATGTGAGAAAAATAAAGAAGCATATAACCATTATATATGTTCGGAAAATAAATCATAATAATCAGGATCTTTAAGTCTATTTAAGGACCCTGAGCTTTGAGGATCCTGAATGTAATTCCAGGATCCTGGCCCTAACTATTTCCCCCAAATTACTCCTGCGAAATATTTTGGAGTTAGTTTGCCAATATTTAAAGGGGTAATTTTAAAATAAAAATAAAAAAGAAATAAAAGTGATAAGGGATTTGAATTTTAAACCCTAACGGATAGAATTTATCTGTTCAATAACCATCATTAACTAGTCAAATCGACCTTTCTCTTTCTTCTGCCATCAGCATAAATAGAGGCAATCAATTAGAGCTATTCTTCCCTGCTTCTTTTAGCTTTCAATCCAAGGGTTTACCAGTCATCTTCAAAGGTACACTTCTCACTTCTTCTCCTTAGTTTTTTTTTCACTAACCATGGGCAAGAAAATGACCATAGCCCATAAGAACATTCTCACTCCTCTTGAGGGTGACTTTATCGATCAAAAGATCATGTCGCATGGCAAAATCTATTCTTTTGATGAGGATGATATCGAGTCGCTGAAATCGACCGGTGCTTTCTCCAATGATGTTGTTTTCAAACCTTTCAACCCAAAATCTCAACCTGATTTCTGTTAGGGCCAGTATCCTTACAATTTTCAGGATCATCAAATATCCAGGATCCTCGGCTACCTCAGGATCCCGGCTAATTACCGTTATTATTTTTACTAATTTTTATAACATTCATATTTTGTCTATAACTAACACGTGTGCAGAAGTAGTCAAGGGAAGACCAATTCTCAATGAAGAATACCTCTCAACTATGCTAAAGACCCGGAATCCTTGGTCAAATAACGTTCGTGAAGCTGGTCCTAGAGGATCCCAGAAATATTGGACGTCTTGTTAGCTAGCTTAGAGTATAAATTAACACTTGTATTCTGCACACAACACACGGTTTTGGAACCTAAGATTACACTGCGAAATTTCTTACTTATTTTTACTAAGAACTCCTTGTAATCACCATTTTATATCAATACAATCATCAAGGCAGGTGATCATTATCACCTCCAAAGGTTTTGTGCCGGAGATCCTAGCAAGGATCAAGGGCTTTCCTTGTAAACCATTGTGTCACTTTCCTTTATCATTTGCAATTACATATTCTAAACATCCCAGCCTCTCATTCAATTTGGTTGATTAACACTTGCGTAACTTTTGACCAAAATAATTTGGCGCCCACCATGGGGCCGTGGTGTTCAAAATCCTTGATAAAATTATGTCTACACAACCGATCCTTTCTTCATCCTCTGCTCCTTCCATTTCAATTAAAAACCTACCGCCTCCTCCGAGTGGGCTCCCTGCTCAGAGGAAAACGCCTGACACTTCCAAGAAAAACACCCCTCCGGTCACTACCAAGGAAGTTTGGGATCCACAGGACTCCAGAATCCGATTGCCTCGGTCACTACTGCAGAACTCTTCGCTATGATGAAGAAAATGACATAATATGTGACCCAACAACAGGAGGAGAATAGAGCTCTGCTCAAAGTAGTGGAAAGGATGAAGGCGGAATTCCAGAAGTCACAGGGAATAACGCCCACGATTGTACCACCAAGGATCCTGAACTTTGGCGATCCGGGATCCTCAGAGAATCACCAGAAGAACATAGTACCTGCCACTGTGGCGTTGCCCTGGGGGACAACTATAGAGAACCGAGTATCTATGATCATTGATCTCTATGAGCCTTTCAATACTCCTAGAAACGTTGATTCTAGTAACTTCTTAAACATCAATACTATTAATACTAACTATACTAACGTTGATGCAGGAATAAATCCAAACATGGACAGGGAGCTTCAGAAACTAAGGCAGATGATTTCAAGTGTACCCAGAGTGGTCCAACCCATATCAGAAGCATCTCCTACAAGTAACAGGATCTCGATATTTTATCCAACGATAGCTGATACCAAAGTTCCTAAGCGCCTCCAAACCCCAACATGAAACTATATGATGGAACTACAGATCTTGAAGAGCATATAGCCCAATACAGAGAAAGGATGGAGATCATTCCCATCCCATGACACTTGAAGGAAGCTTGACTATGCAAAGGCTTTGGTTTGACCCTTACAGGATCAGCCCTCAAATGGCTGCTAAAGGTTCCCCCATACTGTATTACTGCTAAATGTTCCCCAACATCGACATGGCTATTGCTGTAGAAGCATTCAAAATGGGACTTAGGAAGGATTCACCCTTCTATGAAGACCTTGTGATGACCCCATGTAAAAGATTGGATGAGGTCAGGTGCCGGGCATTGAGGTTCATAAGGCTCGAAGAGGATAGAGAAATCCAGAAGAGAAGCAATCCTTCGAGTCTATATGAAAATCCCAACAAAAAGGTCGAGTCCTCGACTCCAAGATCCTACAAAGCAAAGCCTTATTCCAAACCGGATCATCACAAGGTCAATGCCCTCAAGGATGAGGGAGAAGAGGAAGAACTTCCTAAGATCACTGACTATTGTTTTTCTGTGGATATTTCAGGTGTAATTCATGCTATGCAGGATCTTAGGACAGAGCAAGATGGTCGAAGAGAGATAACAAACCCACCATCTGGAAGGACAAATCCAAATGGTGTGATTATCATGAAGACTTTGGCCATATCAGGGAGGACTGTACAGCCCTGAGAAAATAGATCAGCTACCTCCTCAGCAAGGGACACCTCAAACAAATTCTTGGGCGAAAAAGAGAAAAATCCAAGGAGAACGCCCGTGATGATCACAAGATCCTGGAAAAACCATGATCTCCACCCCCAGATGCTAAAATAATAAATGTTATCGTAGGTGGATCTAACATCTGTGGTACCTCTTATTCTCAGGAGAAAAGACACACCGAAGTCTCTAAAACCAATGAGAAGGAAAATAGGGCACAGAGGAATACCACAGTCAACAATGAGAAGGAGATCAGGTTTGATGAGATAGATTGGGAAGGAATTCAGGATCCTCACCATGACGGACTCGTGATAACGCTATATATGGCTAACCATTTCATCAGAAGGATCCTTGTTGACGAAGGCTCCTCGGTCAACATAGTACTCCTAGATGCTTTAAATAGAATGGATATTCCTGAATCAGAGATAATTAAAAGATCTTCGGTCCTTATAGGATTTAGCGGGGAGACAAAATATACAATTGGGGAAATAAAGCTACCAATATACATTGACGGGGTGAACTCTGTACAAAATTTATGTGTTATTGACACCCTATCTTCTTATAATGTGATACTAGGTAGGCCATGGATCCATGAAATGAAAGTAGTGCCATCAACTTACCATCAGTGCGTGAAAATGCCTACTCCATGGGGGACAGTAAAGATCTTGGGAGATCAACAAGAAGCCAAAGAATGTTATAAAACCTCCATGAAATCCATATCCAGACCTCAACAAGCATAGCAATTAAGACAGGGGGCATGACATGTTCTAGAAACAAAGGAGCAAGACGTGAAGGAAGTGCCCCTGGGTATTGAGGATCTTGAAGCCAAAGTTCTCATAGGATCCTCAATGCCTGAGCATATCGAGCAAGATCTATTGAACTTCCTAAGAACCAGAAGCAAGAAATTTGCATGGAAACACGAAGATATGATAAGTATAGACAAGAGTATTCTTACTTATAAACTTAATACTGATCCTTCTTTCAGACCAATACACCAAAAGAGAAGGAAGTTTGCACCCGAAAGGAACCAAATCATTCAAGAAGAGGTAGAGAAGCTCCTCAAAATAAGAATGATCAAAGAAGTGAACTTCCCAAGATGGCTAGCTAACATGGTTGTCGTACAAAAGAAAAACAGCAAACGACGAGTGTGTGTGTAGACTACATGGGTCTTAATATGGCTTACCCTAAGGATCCTTTCCCCTTACCACACATTGACTCTATGATAGACGCAACGGTTGGCCACTAACTCTTGACTTTCATGGATACTTCAACAGGATTCCAACAAATCCAGATGGAGCCATCCGATCAGGAGGAAACGACATTCATAACACCTACAGGTATCACTACAAGAAAAATAGCCTTTAATGACACGCAAACAATGACACTCACTCGCTGATTCACGTTACACATTTTTGGGCGTCCTTAAAAATAATGTCAGACTTCCAAAATTTGAAGGATAGTGGACACGCATTTTTGCGTGCCCTTAAATTAGTGTCTCAAGAAAAAAAAACACGGGGGGCGCTTTATCTTAAACGTGCGTCTTCTATAGGTGTCGCTTTATAATTTTAAGAAAACACGCCTTGAGAAGATAACGGGGGAAAACGAAACCCTAAAATTTTGAAAACCCGCCTTTCTTTTCTACCTTCTTTTCTTCATCTTCATAATCGACTCTCCCCTTTTGTTTCTCTATTGTGAGAAGTGACGGAAAGAAGGGAGACTAGGATGGATCTGCCAGTGATGATGAACAGAGGTGCTTTCCGGTCAATTTTGGAGATGGCGTTGTCGATTTCGATGGTTGTTTCCCTCTTGCCCTAATCATGTCTTCGCCGCGAATCACACACCACCAGTCATTGGAAGAATTGGAAGAAGATGATGAAGTTTGTCATTGTCGTATGCCGCCCTCCCTCGTTGTCTCCAACTATCTCTACCCTTTCTTTATTCTTCGCTTTTATGACCATCTCATCTTCCTTCATCTTCTCGGTTTTCCATCAGGTAATTATCGTGTTCACTCGTGATGCTGAACTTCATAAAAGAGTTCTCTGGTCTTAGCATCTTCTCGGGTAGCTGAACTTCTGTCATTGCTCGGGATCGATGTCAGCCTCCTATTTACCCCTCTACAGCCTTACTTGTAAGTCCACACCACGCTTGTCTTATCTTGTTTTGGAAAATCAAGACATTCGAAAAACCTTAGGGTTTCGCTTCTTATCATCGGTGAGGTCACGTTTCTTCTTATCAGTACTAGGGTCTCGTTTCTTATCATCGGCGAGGTCTCGTTTCTTCTTATCAGTATCGGATTTCTTCTTGGCCGAGGGGCCAGATTGACGAGACCTGTGAGACTTCTTAGATCTCTCCATGCTCCCTGTGTGACTGTGTGAGGATACAGAGATTAATGGCTGCGACAGGGGTTAGCAAAGCTCCCTATTTCTTCTCTACCAGGTATAATAAATGTTAGGTCAAGTCTCTTCATCCTTTCACAAATCTTCTTTAAAGGAGTATTCTTTATGTGCTTACTTCGATTGATCCTTGTTTAGTGCTTTTTAAAGCTTAATGTCGGGACTTATTGTTACTAAGATCTGTTGGAGATTTATCAATTTCTAAAAGGTCACGCTCAGATTTGAGCATATTGTTATTGCAACAACAAGAAGAGCACCCCCCCCCCCCCGAAGAACAAAGTTTTTAGAGATCTCTTATGAGTTTATTTCTTCCTCATGCTTTCTGTCACAATTTGGATCATGTTAATTTTACTGAATTAAGGACAATGGGTAGACTACAGTTCATCTAGCAGATCATGGTCGACTATAAATCCTAATTAAAAAACTTGAATTATGACTTTCAGGTGCAGTAATTGAAGTTTATAGAGTCAATATGGTTTAATTTATAAACAACTACACTTGTTTCCCCAAATTAATGAAAAATGGGGGTATGAAATAGTTTTGGTTCTTGAATTGGTCGGAGGAATTCATGTTTCCCCACATTTGAAATAGTTTTGGATCTTGAAAAATGGGGGTAATAGTGTGTAGATTTGAACTATTTCATACCTAAAAAGCTATCTGTTCATGTTGATTATTCTGATATTGTTTTAGAACGATGTTAATAATCTATCTATTTATTTGTAATGCAAGTTATAATCTATGTGTTATTTGTTGATAAATCATTAATTATATGTATCCGTTTAATCTCTCTTTAGTACACACGTTTAAGCTACTAATATCCCCAATCATGTTTGAGTTATGTGCTTCCAATCTGGCATAGATCTGTATATGAACTTCAAATTTCAAAGGTCTAATTTAAACTGTATATCATATGTCATGTAAGAAATGTGATACTAATACATACTTTTCCATTTTGACAAAGGAACACCAACACTTGCCAATGAGATCAAAGAAGCTCTTGAAGGGAACAATGACATGGAAAAGATAGAAGCCATGAAAAAGCTTTCATGCTTCTACTTAATGGTGAAACACCACCACAACTTTTCATCACAACAGAGATGGATCAATTGATGATATCTTTAATTACGAGTTTCACTGAAGAGCAAAGCAATTAAAAATCAGGTAATTTCTTTTTAAGGTTTGTGCAGCCAGTGTCCGAAATATAGCTTCTTGTTCTTCATTACTGATTCCAATAATATCCATGGATCTTCTTGTTTTTTCATATTCATCTGCACTGCTTACACCTTCCAACTCATAAAATTTACTTTGGTTCAGGTGAGGGAAGTTGCTTGGAGGACCTAGATTGTACATGTCAGCATCTCTTCCAGATACACATAATTGGTAAAAACAGTGGTAGTTTCCTTCTAGATATGTGATTTGGACTACACAAGATCTTTCAAGTAAGTAAGTTCTAATTGCAGCACTAGATATTCTACCATCTGAATGAAACTGAATCTCTAAAAACTTGCCAAAGCGACTTGAATTGTCGTTTCTACTTGTTCTTGCATTTCCAAATGCTTCTAGAAGAGGGTTTGATTCTAGGACTTGTTGTTCAAATGTTTTGTCATCAATTCACTTTCCATGGACTTTGGTCTGGTTGCAAAGACTCTGTCATTTGTGGTTAAGCACTCTTTATCCATCTCTGAATTGCTCACAACTAGGACTCGATTAACCCCAAGTTTGATGGTGAATATTATTCCAAAATTGTGGGCCATAGAGCCTAAGAGTTTGTGAGGAACTTGAGAACCAGATAAAAGATAGAGGTGACCAATGATCGGCCATGAGCCTGGTGCTTCAAGTGTTGTCTTTCCTAATCCTTTGTTGCTCGTGTTAGCTCGAATTTTTATGTTAAATAATTGCTTATTATGAGTCATGATGTTGTGTTTAATGGCAGAAAATACATGAACAACAAAAAACATATGAATGGTTGAAGTTTTGTTCGGTAACAGATTTGTGCTAGGTTATACTATTTCAATTTTCACTGCACAAAGCTTCAATCTTTAAAAAACCAAACCTATAAAAGGTTTTTAATCTTTGTTTTTCTAGGTGGTTGTATGTAGCTTTGTTTATGGTAATAACAATTCAAAGACAAAGACTAAAGATGAGACATACAAACCTTCAACAGAGGAAAAGAGTCCTGGTGTTCAGCTGAATGAAGCTCCTACCAGCCAACAACATGCGGTTGCTTGGCCACCAGATCCCAGTAACTCCTAGCATACTGAGATTGACCTATCCCGTGGATGATGATAGTGACTCTATAGGCGCGTGTTGTTGTAAATGCAATCAATGCCTCCGGTGAAAAACAAACAAACAAACACAGATTTGATGAGGAAAGTGGTGTTAATATGAGTTTCATCCGACAACACAACAGGAGCCACCACCAGGTATTGTACAGATGAAGTTTTTCACAAAGTAAATACACAAACATTTTACTCAGTTTCTTCTAAATTTGATATATATATATATATATATATATATATATATATATATATATATATATATATATATATATAATCTGATGCGAGTAATCCTTTTTGTTGCATTTATAGACACTGAACGAGTTCATCAGCATTGCTGAGTCAAAAGTAGGGTTAGTAACAAATTTGTATTTTGTGGTGGTAAGAATCAAGAACAACCCTTTTAATTGTTTTTTTAAATATATTTTGTATTATATAATAATTTTTTTGTTGCAGGATAAAAATGTTGATGCATTGGCCTTATATTTTGGTGAAGATCCTGCTCGTTGCCCTTTTGAACAAGGTAACATATTTAAATCACATGTTCATTTATAAGCCATAATAATAATAATTGTTGAATTACATATGTTTGAAAGTATAATAGAAGAATGATGGTTTATAGCTATGGTTGTGCAGTTATAGAGAGGCTTGTGAAGTTTGTGAGGGTGTTTAGAAAAGCTCATGAAGAAAACTGTAAACAGGATGAAATGGAAAAAAAGAAAGCCCAGAAAGAGTTTGAATGGCGTTTTTCAAATGGTGTAAACAGGCTGAACTGGAAAGGAAGAAAAATGTAACATTATTATGCCATTTCAGGCCCACTCTTTCTATTTCTTATAACCTATCCATTTCAGGATTGTTGATTAGTCAAATCCATTGAGAGATGCATCAAATAAGGCTAACAGTGCTAAGCTTAACCTATTTCTAGATGTAGAAGTTGGACTGGATAACATATTATGTTTTGATGTCCATAATTGAAATTGATTCAACTTAATACTATATAGGAATATAAAAAGTTATTTTTTATAAAATTGACCTTTTGACGTGTGAATGTAGGATTTGTTCCCCATTCCTTCACCTGCGAAGACTAAGGAGGAGATTTTGCTGTTCTTTAAACTTTATGTTCCTTTAAAAGAAGAGCTTTCAGTATCCTCTCTATCTATTTCTCTACATTGGTTGCATTCAAGAAATAACAACATACTTTCATCAACTTATTTACAATATCATTGTACTTTTGTTTTGTTAAATTCTCCTTATTACAAGTTTGAAAAATCTACCTAGTTATAGGCATGCCATTGAAATATAAAGCAACTTTCTCTATGATACCTGAGTAAATATTCATGTGATTGATTAGTCGACATTTATATTTATTTCTTTTCTTGTATTAGGTACAAAGTATGATTTGGATTATAAATTTCCTAATAGATCAGGAAAAAACTTCATGTCAGGAGAAGATATGGTTGAGATGTTGATGAAGGTTAGCACCATGTTCTGAAAAATAAGCCATAAAATTGTCTTGAGGTTTATTCAATGGTGGTTGATGGTTTTATTTTGTTGATGGACTTTAGCAATGGAAAGATAGTTATGGCATCGGGGGGAAAATACAATCTCAACTCAATAGCAAATCCAGTACTTTCTTGTGTATAAGTTCTATTAGAACATATTTTTGAACCCTTTGAGATTTATCCATTTGTCTAATATTGGAATGATTATTTGGATGTCTTTTGTTGGTGAATCGGATGTTTAAAGACAATATGGGGGACACCATGGAATTTTATATTGATGACATGGTAGTGAAGTTAATGAAAGTCGAAGATCACTTCAGAGACCTTAAGAAAGCATTTGACATCCTGGACGAATACAATATGAAGCTGAACCCACTCAAATGTCATGTTGGAATGAAGTTAGGCAACTTCCTTGGATACATGGTAACCAAGAGAGGGATAGAATCAAACCCGAAACAGATTAAAGAAATCATGGAACTGAGATCCCCATCTTCAACAAAAGACATCCAAAGGCTAACCGGAAGAGTATTAGCACTCAACAGGTTCATTTCAAGATCATCAGAAAGGTGCAAGCCCTTTTACGATTTCTTGAAAAACAAGAAGAAATTTGAGTGGAAGAGGAACACGAGAAAGCCTTCTAGGAACTCGAAAAATATCTAAGCTCTATACCATTACTAGTAAAGCCTATAGATGGAGAACCACTTCTTCTCTACCTCTCAGTATCTTCAAACGTGGTAAGTGTTGTTTTGGCCAAGGATCTTAACGAGGATCAATATCCTATCTACTATGTAAGTAAAAGTCTCCTGGATCCTAAGACCAGATACTCTCACCTTGAAAAATTAATTCTTGCCTTAGTAACTTTTTCTACTAAACTAAGACATTATTTTGAAACACATACTATACATTATTAATTATCTCTTAAGAATGTCATGAGAAAACCAGAAATGTCGGGGAGAATGGTAAAATGGTCGGTGAAGCTAAGCACATTTGACATCAAATACGAACCAAGATTGGCCATATAATCACAAGCATTAGCAAACTTTGTGGTTGACTTTAGTGATGATCTACAAAACGAAGTAGAAATGGAAGCCAAGCAACTCCTAGAAAATGAACACCTGGTAAAATGGGCATTGTTCATACATGGAACTTCAAATAAAAAAGGAACAGGGATAGGGATCATACTAAAGTCGCCACAGGGGGGACATCCTAACCCAGGCAATTAATTGTGAATTCAACGCAACCAACAATGAAGCGAGATACGAGGCACTCATCATGGGACTACAATTGGCTAAGGATCTTCAGGTATTTGTTGATTCTTTATTACTAACCAATCACTTCAATGGATCTTATGCAGCGAAAGGTGAACGATTAGCATTATATCTAGAAATCCTCAAAATGTTAGCTTATGATTTCGAGAACTTCAGCCTAACCCAAGTTCCCAGAGAAGAAAACACAACAGTAGACACATTAGCCAATTTAAGATCCTCCATTAAAATCCCACCAGAGATAAAGATTCCTATAACCCATATAATAACCCTAGACAAAGAAACCCCATCCAAAAAAGCAGAAGATCCCAAGCATCCAACAAGCGTAGCAGCTATTGAAGATCCTAACCCTAGGATCCCTCCTCAAAGGGACCTAATGAACCAGATCCTTAAAGAAATCCACAATCATGGACCCAACCCATTATGGAGTATCTTCAAAATGGAACAATCCCAACAACAGAAAAAAGTGAGAGAGAATTCTAAATAAGAGTCTCAAGATTCGTCGGAATCCAAGGTAAACTCTATAAAAAATCTATGGCAGGTCCGTACCTTAGATGCTTAGAAGATCCTGAGGCTACATAAGTCTTGAAAGACATACATGAAGGAGACTGTGACAATTATATTGGGGGTAGATCTTTATGCTCCAAGATACTAAGAACATGATACTATTGGCTGACCATGAAGAGAGACTCTTTTCTACATGATCAAAAATGTGATGCTTGCCAAAGACATAGCAACATCCTGCATCAGCCGACAGGTTCGCTACATCCAATTGTCTCTCCATGGCCATTCATGAAATGGGGAATGGATATAGTCGGAAAACTACCAATAGCCCCAGGAGGAAAAGTCTTCAAGCTAGTGATGACTGATTACTTCTCAAAGTGGATCGAACCAGAGGCTTTCATTCAGGTAAGAGACAAAGAAGTAGTCTAATTTATTAAATGCAATATCTAGACTAGGTTCGGGATCTCAGATAAGATCATACGCGACAATGGATCCTAATTCATTAGCAAAATACAACAAAATTTTGCACAAGTTGGGGAATCAAAATGATAACATCAACTCCTATTCATCCCCAAGCTAATGGCAAGCATAATCCAACAAATAAAATCATAATAAAAAACTTAAAGAAAAGATTGGACAAGAAGAAGGGAAGATGGGCAGAAGAACTTCCTTTCTTCCTGTAGGCAGATAGGTACTTAGTAGCCACGGGTTAAACCCCCTACTCTTTGGTGTTGGGGACAAAAGCAATGATCCCTACTGAAGTAGTAATCCCGACAGCAAGACACTTGCTGCAAAAACAAAAGAATAACAACAGGATCCTAGCACAGGATCTTGACACTATTGACGAGCTTAGGGATCTTGCGAAAATACGCATTGTTGCTCATCAACAGAGAATCACTAAGGATTAAAATAAAAACATAAAACTCATAAGGTTTCAAATAGGAGACTAGGTGTTAAGGAAAACATTCCAAAACACCAAGGATCCCAACGCAGGTAAATTAGCTCCCAAATGGGAAGGACCGTATCTCATATTTTCTGAAGCAGGGAAAGGAGCATATTGGCTAGCAACACTCAAAGGAGATGTTCTACCAAGATCCAGGAATACCATACACCTCAAAACGTACCACATGTAAGCTGGATCAATTGATCCTCAACAAAACCAAGGTACGCATGTCCCTTGCCTTAAACTTTTCATCATTACTTTCCCTTCGATGACATTACTAACTTAAGCATCGGAGGGGCGTTAGCTAGACTAATGCCCACCCCTAGATAAAGTTTTACATGCAGAACAACACACTGCTAAGGATCTCCGTAAGTTATGATCCTGAAACATGAAGGACCCTCAGGGTCAAAGATCCTGAAATCTAAGGATCCCCCAGATCTCATAATACAAGGATCCTCAAAGATGAAAATCTCGAAACATGAGGAACTTGACATACAAAGACCTTATTATCTTAACACTTAATAAGCCCCATGATACAAACGATATAATCTTTAGACTATCATACACACAAGCTAGAGACTGATCATCTCTGCTACGCTTAAGGGTACTTAATCCCCTCTAAGGTTTAAAGAGCTAATTACCTCTTTCACACGAACTTAGGTTTATACACCTTGCTTGGACGCACGATATCCAACTATGGGAAACGACTAAGGGGATCATTTCACGATTTAGTGGCTTTGCAACCCTCTTATCTTTAACCATAAGTTGAGATCCTTAAGGTTTATAACATTTTCATGTTATCAAAAATCGGGATCCTACCCAGTAATTACTTAAGGTTTATAACATTTTCATGTTATCAAAGATTGGGATTTTGCTCCAGAAATTACATAAGATCTATAACATATTCATGTTATCACACGTTGGGAATTTTTCCCAGAGAATACAATCGAGTTGTAACATTTTCATGTTATTATATGTAAGGATCTATCCCATGAATTATATCACAAGAAAGGTGTATAAACCTTAACTCGTGTGAAAGAGGTAATTAACTCTTTAAGCTTTAAAGGGGATTCAGTACCCTTATTCATAGGAGAGATGACCAGTCTCTATTCTTAGGATACTTGTGTTACAAATTAGAGGACGTTTGTAGTTATGGAACTCTTTAGGTGCCAGGGTCTTTATGCATCAATATCCTTGTTTATTAGGATCCTTGAGTCTTCATATGTTAAGACCCTTGTATGTCAAGATCCCTGTGTGATAGGATCCTTGAGTTTTAGGATCCATGAATCCCTACGCACAAAAAACTTTATCCACGGGTGGATATTAGTCTAGCTAACGCCCCTTCGATGCTTATGTTAGTAATGGTATTTGAAGAGAGCAAATAGTAATAAAAATGAAGGATAAAAGGTAAAGAACATGTGTACCTTGAGCGTGTTGGAGAATGATTAATCTTACTTACATAAAATAAGCTTTAAGATGTATATCATTCCAGGATCTTGACAGGACATTTCCATTGAGGGTAGCCAACCAATATGCCCCCTATCCTGCTTCGGCCTCTATGAGATATGATCCTTCCCATT